ATGGATGTAACATATATGGGAAAAGATATGTGTCTGTTTCAATGAGGATAGATTGAATATTATAGATAAAGAAGAGCAGTATACATTCAGCTTTCAGAGAGGCAACAACTGGGTCTTCAGAGGCGCTTCTTAAAGTATTCAGAGATACAGGGTGAGAGAGAGAAAATGGCAAACTTGAGAAACTTTAGCCAGCAGTGTAAATTCTTTCGATTGAATCTGGTTCTATGTGTAAGCATCAAGGGAGTTCAGACTAGTCAGTCTTATACAACTCTCTCCAGATTCTTGTGGCTGAACAGAACCCCGGAAGGAATAACATGGCATTATACCCTACTTCGAAAAAAAGGAATTAATGGTGCAGAGAAGGTGGTTTTTTTTTCTCTCTTTCTTCCCCCTCCCTCTTGCCAGAAACAAGGAAAATGGAAACATATAAAGCGAATCCGGATAGCTTGTGCACCATGCACTATGATACCAGTGTATACTCTGCCAGCTGAAAGGAAAAGATTGATGTAGACGAGGCCGTATTCTAAGCACTGTGTCAGAGATGAACTTACAAGAACCAAAATTCTTTTGTCGAAAATATCCACTCCTTTCCTTTATAAAGGCGGAATTCTGACAATGAATATCCTCAGAATTTTCAAACCCTGCTTATGCAGTGAATTTTATTTTTCCAACCTGTAAGAATATTGAACAATGTTTGAAGCTGAGAACCTTCAATCAGTTGTTGAGTTCAAAACTGAAAGCTGCAGATTAGCTAAAAAGAAGATACAAGTTAGAGAAATAATTCACTGCTCTTCTTAAAATTTTGTTAAAATTTTGTTTATAATTATTTGTAAAATATGAGCTGGAAATAGAACTTAGCATTGTGTATACGACAATGTACCTTGAATAATTAAGCTAATGAGCCTAAAGTTAGGTTTATCAATTGTTCATTGAACAATCAGTATTTTGCCAACTACTCCTTTCAAACTTTTGAAGTTAGAAATGTGCTAAAAGGTCAAAATTTAACGACACTTTAAAGTCGAGGCTGTCTAAACAATTGGTTGAAGAGCTTTTAGAGTTTTCTAGATTTCAGTTTGGCCCCTGTCCTGTCCTGTCCTGTCCTGTCCTGACTAATTTGGGAAATTGTATTTTTAATTTTTTTGTGGATTTTAATTCTTTTTTTTTTAAAGATATTTATCTTTTTTTTTGGTTTGTTTTGTTTTACGTGGATATAGTATCCAAGAGATTATTCTTATATTTTGTTAATCTTCAAGGATTTATCTTATTTACAACATTGGTCCAACTTTATCATTTAAATTTATTTTGAAAAATAAAGATTTTAACTGTCAATATATATATAGTATAATAAAGCTCTTTGCTTATATATGTAACTGTCAATATATATATTGTATAATAAAGCTCTTTGCTTATATATGTAACTGTCAATATACATATTATATAATAAAGCTCTTTGCTTGTATATGTATCTATTTATGTGTTCGCTATAGCCTGAAGTTTAAATCCACAATACACTTTTAAGGGAAACTTTATTTAAAAATGATCAATTTTCAGATAGATTAAACAATTATCTTTACAAATAAATTGTTCATAAAATGAAAGGTCACTTGAAATTACGCCTACAGTCCCTTTAAATGGAGGATTTTATTTGATATTTTGTTAACACTCCCTTAAAGTGCTAAATGTAATCATCTTTATTTATCTTATTAATTCAATTGTGTTTTATTGTTATAATTTATTCAGCTATGACTGGCAGATGGGATCTGTTCCTCTTCTTCATTCTTGTCTAGATCTTAGAAACCTATATTCTATCCTACTCTGCTCAACCCTTTTAGGTGAGTAGGTTACCTATTCTATCCTACTCTGCTCTACCCTACTAGGTGAGTAGGTTACCTATTCTATCCTACTCTGCTCTACCCTACTAGGTGAGTAGGTTTCCTATTCTATCCTACTCTGCTCTACCCTACTAGGTGAGTAGGTTTCCTATTATATCCTGCCCTGCTCTACCCTACTAGGTAAGTAGGTTACCTATTCTATCCTACTCTGTTCTACCCTACTAGGTGAGTAGGTTTCCTATTTTATCCTACTCTGCTCTACCCTACTAGGGGAGTAGGTTTCCTATTTCATCCTACTCTGCTTTACCCTACTAGGTAAGTAGGTTACCTATTCTATCCTAATCTGCTCTACCCTACTAGGTGAGAAGGTTTCCTATTTTATCCTACTCTGCTATACCCTACTAGGTGAGTAGGTTTCCTATTCTATCCTACTCTTCTCTACCCGACAAGGTGAGTAGGGCTTTCTATTCTATCCTACTCTGCTCTACCCTACTAGGTGAGTAGGTTACCTATTCTATCCTGCTCTGCTCCACCCTACTAGGTGAGTAGGTTACCTATTCTATCCTACTCTGCTCTACCCTACTAGGTGAGTAGGTTACCTATTCTATCCTGCTTTGCTCTACCATACTAGTTGAGTAGGTTACCTATTCTATCCTACTCTGCTCTACCCTACTAGGTGAGTAGGTTACCTATCCTATCCTACTCTGCTCTACCCTTCTAGGTGAGTAGGTTACCTATCCTATCCTACTCTGCTCTACCCTAAGATATAAGTAGATTACATACACTTTTTAAATAATGAAGAGGTTATGAAGGGTATATTGACCAAATATTTTTAGTTCTTTTTTTAAAATGTCTTTTTAAGGTTTTCTCTGCAGCTCAAATTATATTTTGATATAAAACCCTTAAAAGTGTTGTTTTTAAACTCCTGTTTTGAACAAGAAAACTTATAAAAGCCAAAAATTCCACCTTAACATTTTCTTTAAAATACAAAATTCAATGAATATGATTTTTAACAAAGATTTTTTTAACAATTTATGCTTTTTAATTTTAAAGCTTTTCACTTTTTTACTCACCTTCAATTACGAGAGAAAAAATCGCTTATATTCAATTAAAAAATCGCTATGTGGTGGTCATCCAACTTTTGCAGTCAAATAAGCGATTTTTGTCGCATATTTGGCAGCCATCTAACTTTTATTCCCAAATAAACGATTTTTGTTGCTTTTAAAAATTTAAAATGTATATTGCACTCTACGTCACTTCAATAAATCCCCTGCCCCCCCCCCCTCCCTGGATATTTGGTTCGTGTTGCTTGTTAAGTGTTGTGATAGGAGAAGATTACTTGAGCTTTGTAAGACAAGATTTATCAAACCTTAGATAACTTTAGCATATAAATCATACTCTACATCCTACAGCACAATCAAGTTTACACAACAACATTTTTTAATGAGAAAATAAATCAGCTTAAAGGGACTGTAAGCGTAGTTTTAAGTGACCCGATGCAAACCCGATTTACTTAACAGTACCTTTAAAGCTTTTTTTTCTCAAGTATGAATTAAATATGAATGTTTCTGTTTCTTTAAACTGATTATTTACAGTTGCGGGTTTGCTGCGAAAGTGATTTTGTGCATTCCTTGCTTATAAGAAGCAAGGAAGAAACTCACAGAATTAAACCCTTTTTGAGTTAGAAAAACCCCGGGTTCTTCAACATTTTTGATCAGATTAAGGTTTCAAGGGTACTGTTGTAAATCGGGCATTGCATTCTTTGTACGGTGGGTCACTTGAAATTAGACTTACAGTCCCTTAAGATATTAGACTTACAGTCCCTTAAAATATTAGACTTACAGTCCCTTAAAATATTAGACTTACAGTCCCTTAAAATATTGTCTTTTTTTACTTCAGGATTGATTTTTTCTATCAAACTTTTTAAAAAAAACATCGCTTTTTTACTGGACCAACGTTATTTTTCTAACAAACTTTTGAAAAAACGATCGTTTTTTACTGAACGAACGATTTTTATAAACGATCTTTTAATGAAAAAATAAACGAAATAAATTTTGTTTGAACGATTGACTGAAAACAAACAAAATGGGTCGTTCACGAACAATAAACAAACAATATGAAAAAAAGCCGAAAGCACCCATCTATAGCGGAAACGAGCCTTTAGACTAGTCGTCAATTTGTAAATGGTAATATTGGAAAAGTACCTGATCATTTTCATAGTTTATAAACTCTTATTCATAAATTTGAATTTACAGCAAATTTACAATACTGGGGGAAAATAAGTGTTTAGAAATAACACCAAAACAGATTTAACAACAATTAATATTTTTATTAAAACTTTAAAACTTTAAAACTTGTTCTTATAGACTAGAGAGAGACAAGTTTGGCACTTTATAGATTTCCCTTCTCAGGATAAATGTTTTGCAAACAAACTATCAAATATAAATTCAATTTTAAAAATTGATTTTTTATCAACAGGGATACTCTACCGGGTACTGGAGAACAAGGAAGCGGCTGGAGACGGTTCTCATAAGATGAAAAGTTATGGAGATGGCTCCAAGATCGAAAGTGACGGAATTGATTCCACTACAATGACAAATGGTTTTACCAAAATAGAAAGTGATGGTTCCAGTAAGATAGAAGATGAAGATGAGATGGATAAAGATGATTCCAGCAAGATCGAAGACGAAGAGCGGTTTGAAAAGACGGTTTCGGGGACTGTGTATCCAGTTTATCGTAACGGAGACGTAAATGACAACATATCAGAGGAAGCTGATTTGTCCATTACTGACGATGATTGTCAAAGCTTCCAGAAAAGTTTGGCCTTTGGTCTTCTCTTCCTTGTTGTTCCTTTCCTACCAGCCTCAAATATGTTTTTCCAGGTAGACATTAAATCAATCAACTAATCATTAATGCAATAAATAAATTTTTATTGTACCCAAAACCGTGTTTTAGAAGTACAGTTTTACCACGTAAACAGACTTAAATTAAGAATTACTGAATCTTTTATTTTTCATCTGCTTAAATTTATTGAACAAAAGAAAAGGTTGCAAAAATTAATAGCTTTTCAGTCGTTTATTTTTATTCGAGATATTAAATCGTTCTTTGTGGGACAAATTTGTAAACCCATGCGATTGGCAATTTAGGAAAAATAAATTAAAAAGTCTCAAAGCAAATTGCATGAGCACAACAAAATTTACAGGTAAACATTTCAGGTTGGGTTTGTAGCAGCAGAAAGGATCTTGTATGTTCCTAGTATTGGATTCTGTGTTCTAGTGGCACTAGGAGCAAGGAACCAGACTCATGTCTTAAAAAATAGTTTCTGAAAAACTATTGTTGTGATTTAAATGACCAAAGACAGTTTGATCTACCCCTGACCCTCTAGTAAAAGTAAATTAAACCTAAAGTCTGACCACGTCCATCTTGTTGCACCGGCTAGTCCTATTAAGTGTCTGCTTTATTTACCCAACGTCCGGGCGATACAGTACAAACTGGGACCGGAAAGGTTGACCCGGCTCGGAAATTCAAATGTACTACGGCTGCCCCTGACTTAGTTCTCATATTTCTTGGTCTTCTCTCTGTCTGCTAATACTTTTGGTCGACAGTTTAAACTTCTCCATATCCAACCAAAATGGAGGGCATATTCCCGGAAGCCAGTTTTAATGTAAACTAAATTTGGAAATAGCAATTACAGGGGACATTAGCTCCAAACCAGGGCTATGTCCACTTCTAACTGTAATTCTAGAAATGGACAAAATTTCTGTTTAAAAAAAATGTCCAGTCCACTGTAATACGTTTTCTAATACCATGAACTAATGTATGCAGAATTCGCTATCAATTTGTTAAGTTAAAGAAAAACTATTTCGAAATGAGAATTAATGATTCACAGTTTTGACACTTTTTACTTTCTCTTGAACATGAAGTAGATATTTGGTCTTAAAAGTATTGGTATTGGACATTCAATGTTGATTAACCCTTCACCTTTACTCTATATGTAAGTGCATACATCGGGTTAGCTGTTAGGTTAACTCAGTAAACTGGGTTAGAAACCTTTATCTCCTGATTAACCTAGAGTAGAGAGAGTTTAAGTGTTCTCTCAGTAGGGGAAGAGAATGGGACATATTAGTCCTCTTGTTCAAATACGTTACTATGCCATCTACTAGTATCCTTCCAAAGCTACCAAACTCTGGTTAGAGGAACCCTGCATCTATACTGAGCTGGGAACCTTAGAATTGAATACCTTTAATCCCGATCGCTTAATCTGAATATCCAATGTTGACACTTTTAATTTAATTCTTAATCCGCTCTTTTACTTTATTTTTCTCTCCTTGCCAGTTTCCGGCCAATGAATGTGTAGTAAATGCCCTACTCCCAAAACTGCTTTCAGATCTGTATCAATCCAGGTACAACTGAATCAGGAACTCAAGGTTCACACGAATACCATAGTCATTATCAATCCATATTCTCAGGTATCTGCACCTACAGATACAATCAGTTTAAATCCCAATTTATCTATTATCTATCTAATATTTATTACAAGAGTTCTCTCATGAAATATCGCGCAAAATTTCAAATTTCCCGGCTTCTCTGATTGGATGTTCTGGTTTCACCAAACCCCACTCGATTGGTTGAGTTATTTACACTTTTGTTGATACAAACTTAAGAATTAATTAATCTTGAGATTAACAAAAGAGAAGATCAAGCATTGATCTCGATATCCACAATTCTAAAGTTTTCTACTCTTGGCGAAAGGGATTGTTAAATTTTTTACAGAAAAAAAAAATAAATTAGTAAAAAAGGAACTTCCAAGGTTGAAAAAATGTCCCTGATGATTTAAATTATTAATTCCTTCTCTTTTAACAATCTCAGCGTTAATACGTAAACACTGCAGTACATATTGTTTGTAAACAAAGCTAAGAGGCATACAATTAATCCATTGTCAGGATAGGATGGAGATCGTTTCGATTGATCCCAAGATGCAGAATTTTATGATTCCTGATTTCTGATTCCTGATTCCTGATTCCTGATTCCTGATTTCTGATTTCTGATTTCTGATTCCTGATTTCTGATTTCTGATTTCTAATTCCTGATTCCTGATTCCTGATTCCTGATTCCTGATTCCTGATTCCTATTCTCAACCAAGTTTCTAGAAATGCTAACATCAAACTAGCACTAACAGCCAGACTTCTTAGAGCAAAGCCTCAGTAGTTTTACAAAGTGATGGGAAATTTTATCCAATTTGTAAATTCAAAGAATAAAGAAGAATCAGTGGGACTGCCAAATTCTGTAAAAGAAAATCAATTATTTAAAAGAAATGAAGAAGGAAAGATTCGGAATAAGAAATAGAGATTTATATCATCACACCACCTCAGAAGATTTGATTGATTGATTGATCAATAAAATGAATCTTTTATTTAATTTATAAAGATATATCATCTCTTCAATTTTTTGTTTGGGATGGGGAGTTCATTATTTTGTTTGGGATGGGGAGTTCATTATTTTTGTTTGGGATGGGGAGTTCATTATTTGTTTGGGATGGGGAGTTCATTATTTTTTGTTTGGGATGGGGAGTTCATTATTTTGTTTGGGATGGGGAGTTCATTATTTTGTTTGGGATGGGGAGTTCATTATTTTGTTTGGGATGGGGAGTTCATTATTTGTTCCTAATTAAATATGACAGAAAAAGAAAATTTGAATGCAAAGATTCTATTTTTAATTTGTATCATTAAAATATCACCATGTTCTACTATGCAAAAGTTTTTTTTTATTTGATAGTCACATAAAAAGTATCATTTTTAAAAGTTTCCCAATAAAGCTTCTCACTGCAAACCAAGATGTGCACGTTCTCACGCTAAACTACAAGCTGTATTTTGCTATTTACTCCGTTTCAACTTAAGTTAAAGACAAGAACTTTGCATTTTTATATTGTTTACGCCTAGGGCTACAAAAAAGTCGAAGCTGTCCAAACATTGTATGACTAGATCTCAGGGTTGTCTATTTTTCAGTGTTCTTAAATCTTTACACATGAAAGAGGCAAACACCATTTTAGCTGAAGCTTTTGCTCTCCTGATTTTGGACTTCTAATCAAAAAATAAACTTTTGGCCAGGAGAAGAAATAAATAAACCATTCATGAACCATAATTTCTTTTATCAGGGTGTTAGATAGATTGAACTGTCTTTGGTCATTTAGGTTGATCACACCATAAGATTTCTTTTGACAGTGTATTTGACCAATGAGCATGGTTGTTGTATAGAAAGTTACTGGTTCGAATGAGAGGATATAGAGAAGGAAGTATGAGAAGGAACGGAGAAGGAGGGATCAGAGAATACAGATGGATGAGAGAATACGGAAAAGGATGGACGGAGAAGATGATACAAATTCTCATCCTGATCACACTCCTCTCATTTGGAGGAAAAACATTCACAAGGAAAATCTCACTTTTATTCTCATTCATTTCAGACAAAGGAGTAATATTGTATACGCGGTAATTGTACATCAGACAAATATTTCTTATTCAAATGGAGTACCCGTCTGCAAAGCATGTATAATCATATGGTAGGGCCAGCCGCGTCAGTTGTATCTCCCTTCTGTTTCCGACAAAGAAACTGATTACTTGCAACACAATCTGATTCCTTTATCTTGGTAACCTGATAGTGTAAAGGTCTACACCATTAGATTGTAAGGATATAGGAATTAGAAAATTACATTTTGTGGCAAATATAAATGATAATTGAATAGACGAACAATCACTTTTAAACGTTATAAATGATAATTGAATAGAGCCCCATGGTTTATTTTCAACTATCGAACTGAAGCAAAGTTAGTGACGGTGGGTGATTAAAAAATCTAAATTAGCCCATTACTATAAAAAATTTAACCTAAAGGACAATGATATTTATTTATGAATTTTAATTAAGAACAATTTTGAAATTACTCATAAGAGTTACTGAAAACATTGAAATCAAAATCTAAGTAATATGTTTTCATTAAAGTTAAAAAATAATTTCAAAGTCAACAATATTATGGAAAAAATAATTTCATACTCAAGCAGAGTGGCGATATATTTCTGTAGAAAGGTTTGTACGTGGGGTTTCCAGCGAAAGCTTAAGAACATATTTGGTTGTATTTTGTATATAGTTGATATTTCATAATATTAACTTTGAAAACATTTATTCCTGTTTCAAAATGAAATAACTATTATGAAATAATAAATATATACGAATGCGTCGAAAAATAATCAATGACTATTGGTCCTAATATCGGAATACTTTGCTTGGAATTAAATTGATTATTTTACGATCCGAGTTAAATGTTGCAACTTTCTGAATTTGTATGGACGCTACGTTCTTTAGTATGAGTCGTTTTTAACAATTTTCTCCTGATAGACGCAACAGATAGAAGTAAGATTAGTAGTGATCAAAAGCGCTTATTTTCGCCGTAAGCCAATATCCCCTTTCATTTTTCGCGAACACTCCCTTTAAGAAGAAATATGTATAACAAACATTAATCAGTGAGATTTCTTTTATAAAACAGAAATTTCGCCTGGAATTCAAGACTGGCTTTATTCAGGAATATTAACTATTTTATCACTAAATATCCATATTTATTTTTAACTAAAATTCAACAAAAAACATTTTTTCTAGAAACCAAATAACAATAACAGTGCAAAATTTATAGTTCTTGTGAACTACCTTTTATGGTTTGAAATTCATGATTTTGGAATCAATTTAAAGGGACTGCCTGTAAGCGTAATTTCAAGTGGCATTCATGCATGACCCACTGCATACAATGTGAACTCAATGCTGCGTAAAAAGGGTTTAAGGGTACCGTTGTAAATTGGGCATTCTCCTTTTTCCTTTGGAGGGTCACTAGTAAATACGCTTACAGTTCATTTAAATAAAAAGTTGGAACCTGAAAAACAATAAATAAAAATAAATAAAATATTATGATTTGAACCAGATCTGGGCTTCAAAGTACACAAACAAATGCCAAGGTACACAATGAAGATAATTAGTACTTTGGAAATATTTTTTAACTTCGAAAATTGAAAATGTTTTTTTTGTGTTTACAAACTATAATATTTCTTCCACTTCTAACATCACAAATATATTTATAGGTCTTCGAAAATTAAAACTAGATTTTTAACTTCAAACATCAGACTCATGTATTTTTCATATTCAAAAAATCAAAATATATTTTTTAACAATAAAAGTATATTTTCGAGTTTTTGAACCTTGAAATATATTTTGTGTCTTCAAAAATTGAAAATATATTTTTTCCTTCAAACATTGTTGTCTTTTTCTTTAAGCATTAAAAATAATTTTAAAAAAAACATTGCAAATGTTTGTGTCATACTCAGAAATTGACAAGTTTTTTATTGACATATTCGATTGGGCGTCTTTAATCATTTAAAATACGTAAATTTGTGTAAAGATGAAAAACTATTTTGTATATTTGAAATTTAAAAATTCTTGTATTTTTTTTTCTCTTCAAACTTTGCAACCTTTCCTGAAGTAAACTGCTGACTACACTACTCAGTAAATTCATTAAAAAGTTAAATTTTTAGTTTGAAATTCAAAATTTAATAAAACTTGAAATTGCATTATTACAGTGAAATGAATCCCCAGGTATATACGTGCAATATCAATTAAAAAATCTGCTTCCTTGTTGTAGGCTTTCCTATGATTTCAAAAGAATTTGAATTATATATTGACCATGGACCGAATTTAATGAATCTAAACTGCTTACCGCCTGTTCAAATCTGAATCACCATTTAAATACTTCCTTAATCTTTAATTTTGAATTGATGGTTCAAATTTGAACCGGCAGTAGGAGGCTCAGCGACGTAGCTTAAATTAATTAAATTCGATCCCATGTCAAGAATACAAAAATTCTTTTCATATATTTCATATATTCTAGAATCATGGAAATATGAATATATTTTGGATTTTCTACAATTTTGAAATATTAATATATTTAATATTTTCTACAATTATGGAAAAATTGATATATTTTATATTTTCTACAATTATGGGATATAAATATATTTTAGATTTTTTACAATTATGGAAACATGAATATATTTTATATATTTCTACAATCATGGAAATATTAATATATTTTATATTTTCTACAATTATGGAAATATTAATATATTTTAGATTGTCTACAGTTATGGAAAAATAAATATATTTTAGATTTTCTACTATACAATAATGGAGACATAAATATATTTTATATTTTCTACAATTTTGAAATATAAATATATTTTATATTTTCTACAATTATGGAAATATAAATATATTTTAAATTTTTTACAATTATGGGAATATTAATATATTTTAGATTTTCTACAATTATGGAAACATGGCCCTAGACAATGGAAACCAGGAAACAGCTAAACTATGCTACAAGGAAGCCATAAGGTGCATGAGCCATAAAAAACAGGTTTTAACAAACAAAAAAAATTAATTTTGAGATTTGTCCAGGTACAGAATCAAAAAAAAAGTTTGATTTAAATTTAATTTATTTGTGGCCTGGCTACGTTATATTTTAGGCTGTGGCCTAGCTAAGTTATATTTTAGGCTGTTCCCAGAGCTATGTTATATTTTAGGCTGTTCCCATAGCTATGTTATATTTTAGGCTGTGGCCTAGCTACGTTATATTTCAGGTTGTGGCCTAGCTACGTTATATTTCAGGCTGTGGCCTAGCTACGTTATATTTCAGGCTGTGGCCTAGCTACGTTATATTTTAGGCTGTTCCCATAGCTATGTTATATTTTAGGCTGTGGCCTAGCTACGTTCAGGCTGTGGCCTAGCTACGTTATATTTCAGGCTGTGGCCTAGCTACGTTATATTTCAGGCTGTGGCCTAGCTACGTGATTGCTTGGAATAATCTTGCAACTCTATCTGACAACGAAACGGAAATAGAGTTTCTTCTCAGGTTATACACTCTTTAAACTTAAACAGACTGTCAACGATATTTCAAGTGACCAGGTACTAAACTGTAAGTGGGGGGGGGGGGCAAAGCTCTCTTATACAGTAAGAAATTAAGATAGATATATAATATATCTTTTTCCAAGATAGAAAAAGAAGTAGTTATCCGTAGGAAAGCATAATTTTGTTGGGGGGAAGATGGTGGTTTAATAATCAACATGGTTTACATTTTTTCTTAAACATACTTTGTTTAAAATCTTTGTAAGGTGTATTTGAGGGCCTGAATTCAAGCACTGGATTGAAATCACTTTTAATCGTTATAAATGATAATTGAATAGACGAACAATCACTTTTAAACGTTATAAATGATAGTTGAATAGACGAACAATCACTTTTAAACGTTATAAATGATAATTGAATAGACGAACAATCACTTTTAAACGTTATAAATGATAATTGAATAGACAAACAATCACTTTTAAATGTGATGTTACTTTTTTAGAAAAGCTTTGTTGTTGGATCCTAGTCACACAACATCATTGTACAATCTTGCAGATCTATACAGGAACATTTCATGTACACAGTGTACACACTGTACAATCTACAGTACAGTATTTTAGGGGAGTCTTTAGAGATGGGCGCTTTCTGCTTTTTTCCCTTTCGTTCTCAAACTTATTGTTCATTTGCCATCTATTTAAATCGTTTTCTCACTGAAAAATTATTTGTTCGTTCAAAAAAATCGTTCGTTTAGTAAAATTTCTCGTTCAGTAAATTTGTTTGTTCAATAGAACTGTTTGTTTAGTAAAAAAGCGATTTAAAAAAAAAGTTCTTTCGAATGGTTTAAAATCGTTATTTATTAGTTCGGTTTTAAGAAACGACGCCCATCTCTGGCTTACACAAAAGAATATCTGCCTATTAGGGATAGTTTCGGCCACTTCATAGAAACATTTAATAGAAATAATAGCAGGATTAATAGAATCTATTTTATTTTTTGTTTTCCCACTTTAAATTTTTTAAAACTTTTTTAAAAAATTCTTGAAGTCTAGAATAAATATTGATTCTTCCTTGACAGAACCCCCCCCCCCGGCCCCCCCCCATATTGTTCTATTTTCAAACATTTTTATAAAAGCCAAAAAATCAGTGTACATGAATTATTATGAAGGCAAAGACGACATTACAAGAAAGCTGTTTATTATTTCTCAATTTGTCTAAAGTTCAGAGAATGTCAACCTACTGCAGGAATGTTTACAAGCATTATTAAAAATATAATTATTAAAATAAGAACAATATTATAACAATTACAGATCACAATCCCATTTTAAATACTAAGTTTTCTATGATAGTTTTAGCTTTTTAATGCAATTCTATATAGATGTAATTGTCCGATCATAGCTCAGGAACTCCTGGACTGATGTGCCTCAAATTTTGATTTGGGAACTCGGATCACCCACGGGAATATTCTCAGCTTGGTTTTGAGATTCTAAATTGAGTGGGTCAACTTTAATAGCGAAAACTTAGTTTCCCAGTAAACGGTAAACAGCTTGCACCGCTGGGTTCCCAAGCTAGTACCTTATAAAAACATTAAATGTGCAAATTTCTGTGTTTATTAGTGGATTTTTAAACAGTTTTTAGATGAAAACTTTTTGAGGTAAAATTTTTTTTACCAGTCATAAACTTTCTCCGGGGTCATTTCGGCCTATCGGGTTAAACCGGTTTGGACACAAACTAACAAACCGACAACTTATAAATGGAAAAACCAAATGAATATACATAGATTTCATTTTCCAAATATAACACAAAATTCCAAATATTTTCCTATTAATCCTTGTAAATGAGTGTAAGCTTACCAAATTGGTTTTCAATTTTTAATGCTGAAAATTTATGGAAATTGCAAAATATAATTTTCTAAAATGGAAACCAGTTCAGATTTCTTTCCTTCCTTCCTTCAAAGTATTTTTTTCTTTTTTCCCTTCATGTTATTCTTGATGATGTTGTTGATGTTGTTCTTGATGTTGTTGTTGTTGTTGTTGATGTTGTTGATGTTGTTGTTGTTCTTCTTCTCCTTATGTGAATTATCTCCAATTAAGGATTATTTCCCTTTTTTTCCATGCATGGGAAGCTCTAATTAAGCACCCCCTCCCCAACCTCACCCACCCTTCAATACTTTAAAAAGATCATATTTTAGAAATTCCCCCTCCTTTCCCGACCTNTTATACTATAGGACACTCCAGCTAGTTTATACTATAGGACACTCCAGCTAGTTTATACTATAGGACACTCCAGCTAGTTTATACTATAGGACCGAATTTAATGAATTTGAATGTCTATTCTAAACCTGACTTAATCTTTATATTTGAATCAGTGGTTTAAATTTGAACTGGCAGAATTGGTAGTTCAAAGACGTTACTATTGCGTAGCTCAAATTCATAAAATTCTTGATCGTCTTCATTTTTAATTTTAGTGGGACACACGGCTAACTGCATGCATAACATTATCATTCAGTGGGACACACGGTTAACTGCATGCATTACATAATCATTTTAGTGGGACACACGGTTAACTGTATGCATTATATAAGCATTTTAGTGGGACACACGGTTAAATGCATAAATTGCATAATCATTTTAGTGGGACACACGGTTAACTGCATAAATTACATAATCATTTTAGTTGGACACACAGTTAACTCCATGCATTACATAATCGTTTTAGTGGGACACACGGTTAACTGGATGCTTTACATAATCGTTTTAGTGGGACACACGGTTAACTGCATGCATTATATAAGCATTTTAGTGGGACACACGGTTAACTGCATGCATTGCATAATCGTTTTAGTGGGACACACGAATGACTGCATGCATTACATAATCATTTTAGTGGGACACACGGTTAACTGCATGCATTACATAAAACCTAGGGGGTAGTTGCCAAACTGTCCTTAATCTGTCCTTCATACCAATATTATATAAACATCATAGAAGTCAATTGCAAAGAAAAGGGGGGGGGGAGACGGTGTGGACTTATCAGGCAGATTTTTATCATTTAATCCTTTAAGTATAAGCAATAGATATCTTTTAAAGGGACTATAATCGAAATTTCAAGTGACTCTCCAGTCTCCGCGTTCAAATATGGGAATGCCCGATTCACAACGGTACCCTTAAATGACTTATCCCTTTAAATAATATTAAACAGCTGTATTAACTAATAACAAAATATTTTACTAGTACTAATTTATTACAAGAATGGTCTCAAGCTGTCGTACTATAGTAATCCAGCAAGAAATGTGATAATAAAGTTACAGGTGCTAAAATTAAAACTGTTTTAAGGAAACAAGGTGCAAANCTACAGTCTACCGTCCCCCTCCCCCCTTCCTTTGGTAATAATTTTTATTCTTTCCTTTTCTAATTCTAACTAATTTTGCAGTCTGCCGTTTTACTTGGATACCTATATATGCACCTGCCAGGGAGGATAGAAGGGAGGAGGGGAGAGGGGGGAAGAGGCGTGGTCGGTGGTTCTATCAGGGGTAGTTTAAAAAGCGTGAGTGGGGGAGGGGGGGAGGTTGTTAAAAAGCACGTTAGAGTAGGGTTGGTTTGTACATTTTCCTGTTAAAATCAATTTCTAATCTATTGGGCTGAAAGTATGTTTCAATTGAACAAAAGAATTTGACAGATTAATTGATTTAGACATCACTATAATTACAGTTGGGACTAATTAAGAGATTAGTATCTATTACTATACACTCATACTAAGAGATAATTAGGAAATTTAACATATGTCAATCAGATACTGTTCAATTCGACAACATTGTACTTTAGGAGAGGTTGTAAATCGATTTTTAAAAACTTGCAATATTTTTATCCTAAAATAAAATTGAAAAATGATCCGAAAACAATCGTTACAACATGATCGTAAGATCGTTTCTGGGTCGTTTTCCGCCCATACATTCTGTTAGATGTCAACATTTGGGCTAATGTAAGAAAACCAAATGGTATAAACAATACACAATTTTGAAAACAACTTTAAAAACAATTGCTTTTTTATTTACTGTGCCAAATTAGGTCCCTGAAAGTAAAAAAAGAGGCAAAAAACGACCAAAAACAAACAGAATACACATAACTCTTCATGCTAAAAACACCACTAGGGATGGATTCTTTTTACTTTTTTGAAAACGATCTTTTCGTTTTAAAAACGACAAAGAAAAAATGAAAAACGAAACGATTTTTTTAAAAAACGACCACGACTGTTCGTTTTTTAAAAACGCTCGTTTTTGAATAAGTTTGTCGTTTGGTTAACGAACGTATGTCGATTTAATTTTTGACGATCGTTAATGACGACCTATAAAGACAAAACACATTTTTGGTCGGAAAGTCCTGAGATCAGAAATCCAATAGGTCAGATCAGAAATCCAATAGGTCAGATCAGAAATCCAATAAGTCAGATCAGAAATCCAATAGGTCAGATCAGAAAACATTCTGGTTATTTCTCTCGACAAAACATTCGTTTTAGAAAAAATGAAAAACGAAACAACCCAAGAGGGCCTAGACACCACACCCTCCCGTGTTTAAATGTCGTTTATAAAATAAAAATTAAATAAAAATTTTGGTTATTTACGCAAGAAAATATCTTAAGGAAAATGACATAAATATTTTGGATAAATTTGTTGTTTGAAATCTTTAATTATATTTTTTGGTCATGGCTCTGTATAATACATATTGTTAGCTATATAGCTGGTCAAACGGCTGAACCAAATGTTCCCCGCCTTCCCCTCCTTCCCCCTCCTTCCCGCTCCTTCCCTCTTGCATAAAGAAAGAAAAGAATTTCTATATATTTTTCAATTTCAGACTTGATTTAAAATCATTGTTGGTATGATTTAGATTTGAATTGAATCGATCATCTTATAAAGCAGTATTTCAGGTTTATTTTAAATAAACTACTGCAATCATTCTTACAGCTAAAGTTAGGCATGTTCCGGGATTTTTAAAGATTTTAAATTTTTACAAAGGACAATAGTACTGATTTAATAAATGTTTCTTAGGTTAGTTAATGTTTTAAGTACAGAACTTAAGTTCAAAAGACGTCTTTCTATTCCACTGCACACCCCCAAATATATTCTGGGCAACGCAGGGTACTCCAACTGTAGAAAAAAAATAAACGTTAAAAAAATATAAAATATTTAACGTAATTTTTTATCATTTTTATATGGGATTCAATTAATTTTATTTTTCGACCGAACGATAACTTTGTAAAAGGATATCATTATATACTGAAAATAGTATGTTTGTGTCAAACACATTTTTTGTGATTTAGATTTAGATTTTTAATTTTTGGTACAAAATTTGAATAAATAAAAATTCGCAAGGTGGAATAATTCAGAATTTTTCTGAAATGTATATATATTGTATATCTTTATATCTATATATACTGGCTTCTATTTCAACTTTTAACTGTGGCTCTGTCTGACTGTGAGCATCTTATAAAACAAAAACAACAAAAAATTCGCGGATTTGATGATATTTTCCCGCGAATTTTCAAAATTTTACAAAAATCAAAAACTTTTGGACACATATTTTTGTAATTTAGAGCAGCCATTAACCTTCCTTAAGATCATGCACAAAATTTGGGCCCGATCGGTTTAGCCGTTTTTACGTTTATTACATACAAACGGGCAGACAAACAAACATACGCCCAAGCAAAGTGTATGTATAGATATACATATATCCAGTAACCACCTGTTTATAAATATTTATATTCCTACTCCTCAGAACTAATTGAACTTCATGAATATAAATTAAACCAATTTAATTTTCTAATATATAAGAACTTGTAGCTTATGCAAATATAGAACTAAAACAAGACAAATTTATCAAAACTTGTGCAATTTTAAATTTAACAAAACTGCTCCCTTGCTCAATCAAATTTAGAGAAATTTTAAAATACTAGGCTTTTAGGGCGCTTCGCGCCCATCTTCTATTTAAATTGTGAACATGTTCTTTTTGTTTACATTTTAAAACAAAGAAGAACAAATTTTTGCGGATTTAAAAAAAAAAATTCGCGGATTTTCAAGAATTTAAATTTTTTACCAAATTAAAAACCTTTAAAACACATTTTTTAAAAACTTTTATCATTCATAAACCTTCCCTGTGGGCCCGATCGGTTCAGCCGTTTTGACGTTTATTGGGTACAAACAAACAAACACCCAGACAGACAAACAGACAGACAAGCCAAATTTATATATAGATTTCTAGTAATCTTTTATTGAGCCAAATAGGAACGAAAAAAGCGTAAAAATTTGGAATTATATATTTTTATAGATAAAGCTTAAATTGCAATACAATGAAAACATAATGAAGAATTCTTAAATGTGATCTTTATAATAAAGCTCTTCGCTCATATATATACATAAATATTACTAGCTCGGTAACCTAGCGTTGCCCAGGTACTCCCGCCGTTTACCCGTAATTGGAAAATTTTACCGGGAAACTAAATTTTGGCTATAAATGTCGATCCACTCAAGGTAAACTATTTAAAACCAAGCTAAGAACATTACCTTGGTTCTCCCGAGTTCGACATTAAAAATTTGAGGCAAATCGGTTCAGGGGTTTCTGAATTATGATCGGTCAAATAGACAGTCAGACAAACAGATATTACAACTATATTATTATGTGGAAAAATGATAGCTATAGCTGGCCAAAAGGCTGGACCAAATTTGCTGACATTTTTTAAACTAGTTTTGTTTATCCAAAGTCCAGACAAAACTGGGTTCCCAAGCCAGTTTTCAATATAATAGTATATTGTTTGTAAACACACGAACTGCAGTACGATTGCTGTCTGACTGCAAGGAAGAAGTTCAAAAGTTGAAAATAGCAAATAACAAGCATCAGCATCATAATGATCTTGAAAGAAAATACCATGGAAAAAATGAGCCTGGGAGTAAATGATCATGAACTAGGAGTAAATGATCTTAAACCAGGAGTAAATGATCATAAACCAGGAGTAAATGATCATGAAGCAGGAGCAAATGATCATGAACCAGGAGTTAATGATCATGAAACAGGAGTAAATGATCATTAAACAGGAGAAAATGATCATGAAACAGGAGCAAATGATCATGAACCAGGAGTAAATGATCATGAACCAGGAGTAAATGATAATGAGCAGGGAGTAAATGATCATGAAATTGTAGTTATTGATCATGAACCAGGAGTAAATGATCATGAACCAGTTGTAAATGATCATGAATCTCGAATAAACGATCATAAACCAGTAGTAAATAATCATGAATCTCGAGTAAATGATCATGAATTTCGAGTAAATGATCATAAACCAGAAGTAAATGATCATGAATCTCGAGTAAACGATCATGAATGTAGGAAAATTTGATCACGATTGTAGACCTTTTTTTGTGCCAAATTTTGTACCGTATAAAAAACATTTTTGAATAAAGTTTAAAATTTAAGTTTTATTTTTAAACATTAATCTGTAAAAAGGAAATGTTTGTTCTAAAAAAATATTTATTCTCAATATTAATAATAAATAATGATGAGAATGAGGGAAGAAGACAGACCAGGGGTTAACCTTAATTCCAGGTTATAGAAATAAAGCCTACAGCTGGAGTACTAATACAGTAGCAGGATATGCAGGGTTACCCACAAAGGGTGAGACGGAAATGACCACCTTGGCAAACGTACGTTTGGCATTTTATATATCTGGAAGGTGAAGTTTTTTAAATCTCACTCTGTTCAAGTACTCCTGAACACTGCATAAGCTGTTTGTCCAACTAAACATGCAAAGACGACCCAGAATGCATAAAGTTCAGCTTTAGAGCCATGTATGTCATATTGTAATTAAAACTGTTAATTTCCTGAAACACAAAGCTCTGTTATTTGTTGTTTTAACAGAAATGCTTGTGTAATTTAATAAAGCTTTTTGGTCATGGCTCTGTATAATACATATTGTTAGCTATATAGCTGGTCAAACGGCTGAACCAAATGTTCTTAATTTTTATTAAAATATCAACGGGTACTTATTAGAAATCATAATTTGATACCACGCGCGGGTAAACGGTGGGGGCCCTGGGGGTCTGGGGTAAATAATTCAAAAAACCTGAGCAATGTCGGACACTCCAGCTAGTTTATACTAAAGGACACTCCAGCTAGTTTATACTATAGGACACTTCAGCTAGTTTATACTATAGGACACTCCAGCTAGTTTATACTATAGGACACTCCAGCTAGTTTATACTATAGGACACNTCCCCCTTCAAACACATCCCCACATTCTTCCAAACATATCCCCCTTCAAACACATCCCCACATTCTTCCAAACATATCCCCCTTCAAACACATCCCCACATTCTTCCAAACATATCCCCCTTCAAACACATCCCCACATTCTTCCAAACATATCCCCCTTCAAACACATCCCCACATTCTTCCAAACATATCCCCCTTCAAACACATCCCCACATTCTTCCAAACATATCCCCCTTCAAACACATCCCCACATTCTTCCAAACATATCCCCCTTCAAACACATCCCCACATTCTTCCAAACATATCCCCCTTCAAACACATCCCCACATTCTTCCAAACATATCCCCCTTCAAACACATCCCCACATTCTTCCAAACATATCCCCCTTCAAACACATCCCCACATTCTTCCAAACATATCCCCCTTCAAACACATCCCCACATTCTTCCAAACATATCCCCCTTCAAACACATCCCCACATTCTTCCAAACATATCCCCCTTCAAACACATCCCCACATTCTTCCAAACATATCCCCCTTCAAACACATCCCCACATTCTTCCAAACATATCCCCCTTCAAACACATCCCCACATTCTTCCAAACATATCCCCCTTCAAACACATCCCCACATTCTTCCAAACATATCCCCCTTCAAACACATCCCCACATTCTTCCAAACATATCCCCCTTCAAACACATCCCCACATTCTTCCAAACATATCCCCCTTCAAACACATCCCCACATTCTTCCAAACATATCCCCCTTCAAACACATCCCCACATTCTTCCAAACATATCCCCCTTCAAACACATCCCCACCCCCTTCAATACACATCCCTACCCCTTTCAAAGCATACCCCTCCTCTAAAATCACCCCACCCTCAAATAAAATCTATCCCTTCCTCTCCACTCTTCGTAAAAATAAAACGCCCACAATTCACAATTATCATCCCCCTACTTTTTTACCTTTTTATTACCTTTTGTTACTCTGCAGTATATTTTTCTAGTATAGTTAAACCTCTCTTGCTAATTAACCGTCTACCCCCCGACTCCCCGAGTTCCTCCACTTTTCTCAAATTTTAACGTTTTATAATAAAAAAGATTACTTCCTGTGGCTTAAAAAGAGACTTTTAACCTAATTTCAAATGATCATCTGTAAGGTACCTTTCAAACCATATCACTTTAAAATTGAGAAAAATCTTTATTTTTTAGAAGAACAAAGATCAGTTTAGTGAATTTACATCCTTTCATGCTGCAAATTAAAAAGATGTTTAAAAATGTTTAAAATCTAACTTCTATCTAGACTTCGCAATAATTGCAAATCAAATATTATACATTTTTTTATTAATCTGTTATTTTGGTGTAAATTTTTATGTTACAAACACACATATTTTAAATTAGAATGGATCTAAGTACATTTATATTTATATTTGGAATCCTAGAAAACAGGGTATTAAGTGACGGCATTGAAATCGTCTTCAATCATTAAACTTTAATTATTTTTTCATACAACATTTTTGAAATCCCAGGAAGAAGGATACCTATGGCTTTTGATATTATAGTATTGCAATTCAATTGAAATTTTAAAGTCATCACTTAGTTCCCATTTTGATAGGACCAACCTGCAAAACTGATCTGCATTTAAAAAAAAAATTTTTTTTAATTATTTTGGGGATTTTTCAAGTTTGATATTATTTGGAATGATCCGAATATCACAGCTTTTAAAAATGCAAGGAGTAAGATTCATAAAGGGGGGGGGGGGGGATTCGTGAATTCTTTTTTCAACAAAAATTATTATTTTGAATTTTAACCAACTGTGTTTTGTAAAACTAGGGGGTTTTGGGGTGTTATAATATAATGAACTAAAATACTGTCTTTGGTGATTATAATATAACATTTTTTAAGCTCAGTTCTAACATGGGGGGGGGGGCAGATTAAATATGAGTTTACATATTTATATTAAATTTCCCCCCCCCCCTTGTTTGGAAGGGGCTAAACGATTTTGATTTTTTAAACTATTTGACTAGATTATATTTCAAACATTCCACATGGAATTTGTAAGTTTTAAAACCATAAATTAAATTTTCAATTTCAATCAGGAAAAAAATTGTATTTAAAACATTTTTAAGGAAAATATACGAAATAAAAGAGAAATTTTTTCACTCAATTTGATGTTTTTTTATCATCTAAAATGATTTTTTTTAATACCCGGTTTTATTTTATAAGCACTAATATCTGAATGAATATGTAAGGATTAAATTTTGGAGTATTTCATGATTTTTAAACTTTTTTGAAAATAAAATAAAATATTTTGACTACATGAGTATTAAACTGTGTCTGACTGTAACAATTAAAACGAAAATATTAAAAAATATGTTTTTATAATGTTCTCAAAACAGAACTGTGACTATTTAAAGGGACTGTAAGCGTCAAAATTACGTTTACAGTCCCTTTAATAACTTTCAAGACTCTGACTTACAGCTGCCTGTCCGAGAATTTATTTCACTTATTATATAACTTTTTAGATCACTGATATATAGTCTGTAACCTCTTATTTTATCAGGAGTTTGAAAACTCATATTTTAAAGTCAAATTAGTCTTGTACTGAATAAATATCTGGCCGCGCCATCGAAGTAGAAACCAAGTCGGTATTTGCTGCGCTTTCTTAACGAAGGTACAAGCGGTCGGTCAGGTTCGAATTCAAAATGACCCTTGTCAACCGTGGTAGATTTACAATATTCTGAGAGCTAGGGGTAGAAAGAAGAGAGGAAGAATGGATACAGTAAACACAGGACTACCTAAAAATAAATAGATTGTCAAGTAAAATATCGACTAATTATGCACCACGTCACAAGTGTCAAATGTAAAAAGAAAGACGACATTTTTTCCAACTAGTTAATATGATTTCCAAGATTCAGCTTAGATAAATATCGTATTTGATTGAATACGTAAAAATCTATTTATCAAAAATGAAAAAGTGTAAAAAAACTAAAAAATTTATTTAATAATAATTTTAGAACTTATAAATAGATTCCAAGTACCTGATATGCTCTTGATTATGGATTCCGATGTCCATACCTAAAACAGAAGACATGAATATACTCTATACTCTATTTATTTGAAATGTACTTTTGCTTTTTTATTTAACTCATCCGTTGAAATAAAGTTATTAGTATTCTCAGATTTTTATCGTGATTTAGACATTTCTGGCAGGGAAATATAATAATAATGGGAGATATAATGAAGATTTGAGGATTGCATGTTCATTCCAAGATAGATCTGTTAGATTTAGTAGATTTAGTAGATTTGGTTTAATAACAGTAATATTACGAGTAGCTTATCTTTTTGTATTTTATCTACTTATTAAATCTAGGTTTAATTAGCATAATATAATAAGATATTGTGTAATTAACGCTTTAATTTCTCACAGTAATTAAGTGTTAACATTAAACATAATTTTCACGAGCATTGAGTCAAGAAGCGCGATTGAATTTTTTTTTATAAATTCTGAGCTTTTGAAAAACGTTCAGAAAAACCAGACTTTAGTCAGAGCAGAACAACAATGTTTTAATCTGAAGAAAGACTTGATATTCTATTCAAAGGAAGAGTTAGCGAAATAAAGGATAGGATAAACCATAATTGAATTACGAATGAATTGAGATTATTTTTTTGTTCTCTTAACCAATATCATTTATTCTCTTAATCACTATCATTTATGCGTTTGGCAAGGGACTAGTTGTATACGTAATTTACAGTGAACTACCATTTCAAGATATGAGCTCTTCAATTTTACAACGGTACCCTTGAAACCTGATTCATAGTTTGAAAGTTTTTTGTTTGCTAGCTTGAAAAGTGTTTAATTCTGACAATTGGAATTGTGAAGTAGAAATCCGCAAGTCCCATTTGTAGAGAAACTACAATCGAAAATAATCTATTTATAAAGTTTAAAAGAACTAATATCTCATCATTACAAAGTGTTTAAGGGTACCATTGTAAATCAGACATTCCACTTTTTAAATGGCCGAGTCAATGTAAATTACGTATACAGTCCGTTTAAATCTTAAAACCTAACCTGTGATTTATACTGCGAATATTCAGTTTGCTTTCGAACAATCTGCACTGACTCCTCGTTCGATCTAAATAAGATATTATTTAAAACTGGTTTTTAAACAACAAAAAAGCTGATTTTATTTCCAAAAAAACTTTTTTGTTCAACTGGCTTCATTATAAAAAATGGTTTTATTTTTAAAAAACAAGTTTTATTTTAAAAAAGGGTTTATTTAAAAAATTGGTTTTGTGGTGCGAACTCAATTGCCCTTTGTCAAAAAATGGTCTTACTTCCAGTATATTGTAGCAATTGTAGCAGTACATTTCAGCTTCAGATCACCTTTTCTATAATGCTTCTCTGTCAGCCCAAATCTTGAATTTAAATAATCAATGAAAGTAAATAATTTTAAGTAATTATTAATCTATAAATTATAACAAAGATACAAAATTAAGTGTTTGAAGAGGAAATATTTAAAAACTTCCAAAAAAAGATGTTTGGAGAATATCCCCCCCCCCCCTCCAGGTTTAATAATGATAACAACACAATATAAAAATGGTAACGTGATTATGAGTACTGTGAAAAGAACCATACTCCCTTAGTTCTACGTTTATTATAAAATTAATTCAAAAAGTCCACTAAACTATTTGTGTCGAGTTATTGCTGAATTATTTATGTATATAATAATAAAAAAGTAGGTAAATTTAATATTTCAATTTAAACAGGGACAGATGTAAGAATAAAATTTTAACTAATTCTTTTCTTTTAACTTCAAAATTCCAAAACTTTATCGTACAAATTGTATATGACTTCCTATGACAGCGCACTTAAGGTTTATTTCCGGTTGTAATTCAATGATTTTGCATTCAAATTTTGATTAAAAGAAAAGTATGAAATCCACCAATAACAGCAGAAATCAACGAAAGTTTATATGATTATTTTTAATTCAAATTTTTAAAAATATGAGAGGAAAGTGTCCCCAACCCATTGTATCATATATTTGACCAATGAAATGTGTTTAAGTATGGCTATATAGTGTGGCTGTATCCTGGGTATTATGATCAACTTTTATCACAGATTACTGGTTTATAAACAGTAAACTTCATCAGATATATATGGGCATCGTTTTCAGGTTCGTTTTCAAATTTTAAGATTATTTTCCATCTAAAAGGCTTATAAGAAACAACTAAAATTCCATTTTTTTAAAATTTACTTTAGAATATATAAGGCTAAATCGATTAATAAAAACAATTAACCAAATCGGTCGTCAGTGTAAAAATTGTACACCATTTAATAAATATCAACATTTTAGATTCTTGTTATGACTTTTGAAATTATTTTTTAAAACAATTCTAAAAGCAATGGCCATCTCTAAAGTCCCAAAACTGTAAACCTCATATACACACTAAACACTATTATACTTTATACACCGGATGTAAATGGTACATATAGCTGCTACTCAATATTAATAAAAGTATCAAAAATAAAATAAAACGTTGTAACTTTTAGGTCCATTCTTTTCTGTTTAGTATTCTTCAAATTAATGTACACAGTATAAATGTACAATAATTTTATTAAGAGAGTTAGGTTATTGGTAATAATTTTATTCTTAAAATATGAAATGAATTCCTTATCTTTGCCAATATAGAGAAACCTGGCAAGTTACTTTGATGGTTTCAAATAAACAAACGTATGCCTGATAAAAAAATTTAACTTTCTAAAAAACTTGAATTTATGGCCTATTAAAATCATCATGCTTTATTATATTTTTTCTGTTTCTTTTAATGCTAATGCTGCAATATTTGATATTTTTACACAATTTGTATCAGGACGAGATTAAATGAATAATCATAGCTATTAATCAAATTTAGTAGATTTATGATTGTATTGTGATCTCTACCTGAGATCTAGCTGTGATGTCTCAAGTCCATCTCGAGATCGATGAATCTTCAGATTGCTCAGCGATCCTAAAAATAAAATAAAAATCTAAAACAATGTTGAGCTGATCTTTTTATTCAGTTTGCATTATTGCTAAAAAGATATAAATAAGATAGAGTTTTGGTAAGTTTTCATAACTTTACACTAACATTTTTTCCGACAAATTGCTCTATTTCCTGTAGTAAACCACTGGCACTCTGCCAGAAGCCTGATACAAGCTAAATCCAAAATTTGTCATTTACATGAAAATTTCTTATGTACGCTACTCTTATTACTCTCAATATATTAAGATAAACGTATTTAATCTGAACAGAAAAACTATTGATGACTATCCAAATCATTAAAACAGAAAACTATTAAATTCCAAATGCGGAGTTAAACTTTAGTATAAAATGGTGGAATTAAACTTAACAATGAACTGGCGTCAAAAAAATTGAAAATGGCGGATTTTAAAAAGTTTTTTTATACCTGGATCCGCTTCTTCTCCGTTGATATACCACTTGAGTTGGGCTGCAGGTAGAGAGTTAGGAGAACTACAGCTGACGTTCAGCTCATCTCCAACCTGGTATCTCGGATAGCTTCCTACAAACAATTTATTTGAATTCTGTTAGGAGCTCCTTTTATCACTTTTAAGCAACATAGCATAATAATACATTTCAGGTCAATTGAAGTTAAGCTTGTAGATAAAAAGGCAAGCGAGGAAACCCAAACAAATATGGAGGATCCCGCATTACTGCATGATTATTCAATTGATGCAGTGATTAATATGTTTGAGTTAGATCAGGATTTGAATTCGAACATTGATTGTTTATTATTTTTTAAACAGATCATTTTCAACTTTGGGTTCTCAACAAACTTGACTTTGGCATTTCTACTGCAGGAAAACAAAAATGAATTATTACAATTAAACACTTTCAAACCTAGAAACATGACAATATCTTCCAAATTATTGATCAGACGAAGCTTTAAAGGGTACCGTTGAGAGTCGGAAATTGCTATCTTTGCCAGAAAGGTCACGTTTACAGTCCCTTTTAAGCAAAAAAATGTCAAAAACCTAAAATATTTTTTTTTACCTTTGATAAGAGGTCCACCATCCGGTAGATCAACCACCACTAGAACTGTTTCCTGGGATCACAAGGTTTTTATTGACAAGGACAAATAAAGAAAATTTTATTTTTCTTTCTTTAGGTTTTACACCTCCCCCCCTCTATGCAACTAGATAAGGGGGGGGGGGAACGATTGTTACAGCCCCCCCCGTGCCAAATTTTACGTAGCAGCTTGGAATTTTTTCTAGGTTTGATTTGTTCAACCATATATTACACCCTTTGAGTAATCAGTACGGTATGTGCGCATACATTTTGTTGTGACGTGTAAGGCCAGACAGCTTTTTCTCAATTTCTCAGGAATAACAAGCATTGCTTATTTACGCACCTCTGCCCCTTTAGTAAAAGTAAATTCAACCTATATGAAGCATAAAGTCTGACTGCGTCAACCTTTTTGCACCGGCTAGTCCTGTTGAATGTCTGCTTAATTAAGCCAATGTTCGAACGGTACAATACAAACTGGGACCGGAAAGGTTGACCTGGCTCGGAAATTCAAGTGTACTACGGCTGCGCGTGTATTATCTTTGTTTTTGTCTAAGAGAAACTATAGTTCCTCGGCTGTCTTTTCTCCCCTCTTTACTATTACTCGCATTGGTTTAAAATTATGTTTATTTGAGAAAAAACTCAACAATATTAAATCAGGCTTTTAGTGAAGTCAATCTCCGAGCCGGGTCAACCTTTCCCTTCCCAGTTTGTACTGTACCTAGCTCTATGGACAGGGCTTGCAGGTGCAACAAGGTTGACGCGGTCCGACTTTATGCTTCATATACAGGGTGTCCCAATAAACATGGGAATTCAGGGCCGAATTTGATATCGTCTTTTAAAATAATTCTTTGATTTAGTATAGTAATACCTACTGAGAAAGCTGTAATCTGTAAGAGTTTCGTCTGCTATGTTCAAATTTTGTTTGTTTATGTTTTGACTGCATACGGTTGTACTTCGTAAAACAAGAAAATTGCAGTATACAAACAGAGTAAACTTGTCCGTCTCCACTGTTCATCTTGCGGAGACATTATAGACACATCTTTACAGTCTTTTACCCTTTTTTTAGAATAAACTCTAGCAGACATAATAATATTATGGCTTTTGAAATTAGGCATTACAATGCTAATTCATAACAAAGACGATATAGAAATCGTCACTAAATTCCCATGTTTTTTGGGACACCCTGTAGGTTGAATTTACTTATACTAAAGGGGCAGAGGTGCGTGTCTCGAGATGACTTTACTAAATAAAGAATTAAACAAGGCCATAGCTTGTTAGTTGTTTTGAGCTTTTTCACATCGGTTAAATAAAAATGATTAATGTTTTGCAAAAATCTTTGGTTTTCTCATAAGATTTTAATTTTTTTTTTGTTATAACATCTTGCCAAAATACCAGTTTTAGTCTTTGCTTCTAGTTAGTGATCTTTACGCGCATTTTTGATTTTGAATATCGATAATTGAACGCTGCCCTAATCGTTTTTAATTTTGACAAAAACCAATTCCTGTGATGCTGTATTGAACAGAGGACCTTCTCCTGATACCTCACATCTAAATTATTATTATTATTATTGTTAATATTATTGTAATTATTATTATCATTATTATTATTATTATTATTGTAATTATTATCATCATTATTATTATCATTATTATTATTATTATTATTATGATCATTATTATTATTATTATTTTTTTTTATTATTATTATCATTATTATTATTAATATAATTATTACTTAACTGGAACCATCATCTTAAGGCGGTTAAAAACAAAGCATCCAGTGCAGTTTTTGCTTTGCCAAGTGTAAAAAATTTTCTTCCTAGTAATATTAAACTAACCATTTACAACTCTTTATTTCGATCATTCATTGAATATGCAATTTCAGACTGGGGATGTTACAAATGTTCAGAAATGAAACAAATTCACATTTTACAGAAACGAGCAATACGATTAATTGATAACTCAAAAGCCACGTCTCATAGTGATCCTCTTTTCCTTAAGTATAAGATTCTAAAGATTAATGATCTGGTAGAATTTAACCAAGCTATATTTATGTATAAATATACACATAAACTTCTTCCAGCATCTTTTGAAAATATTTTTTAAAAGCTTGGAAACTTTGAAAGATCTCCTAACTATCAACTTGACATTCAAGCTCTCTTCTTAAGATGTGGAATAATCTGCCTCTTGACTGAGAAAGAAGCAACTCTCTAAAAATAGACTACTAAATTCTCTTTTTGAAAATTATAGGACAATGTGTTATAAACCGAATTTCTATTCATGTAAAACTAATTAGATATGTTTTAATATGCTTTGATATTTGTTGTGTACATGTCTGAAAATTACTTTAAACTCTAGTTATTCGAATTAATGTATAAACTATTTTGCATATGATAAATTCGCACCCTGATCTCTCCTTAAATCTATTTAATTGAAATATTTTGTTATTATTACTAACATTAGGTGGAAAAAATAATCAAAACAGCCAAGAGCTATTTTCCACCTAATTACTTTATACTTGTACTGTTAATATAATCATCAATTTGTGATTGTAAACTCTATCTGTATACAGATGCATTTATCTTAGCAATAAACTTTATCTTATCTTATCTTATCTTATTATTATTATTATTATTATTGTAATTATTATTGTCATTGTTATTATTATTACTATTACTATTATTATTATTATTATTTCTCTAACTTTTTGGCTGTTTTATTGAGAAAACAAAATTGAACGCTTTTCCTTTTAAACACTTTGTTTACTTCATATAATATTCATATTTACAGACGTACGCAAATACTAAAAGGGGGGAGTTATAGGCTTGGGGGGCGGGGGTATCAAAATCAGTAATACACTTTAAAAAGCCTACTGTAGTCTGAAACTCTGTAGGAATTTGTCATTCTATAGTTTCTACATTTACAGCCAACAAAATGTTTTATCGAGAATAGAAATGAGTTTTATAAAATTACTGATCAAAGTTTCAGCAATTTAACTTCAAGTTTACAAGTATTTTAAACACCCTTCATATTTGCACAAATAAATAAAATAAAATCAGCGAAATCTGGATCAACAATCAAAGATAATGACAAGGTTTCCAAATGTTTATTTAACATGGACACCCTGTATAATGTTCTTGGTTCCAATATAAAATAATATTGCACATTCAGCAGTTCTCGAATAGAAACATAAATTACCAATTTGTGCCTAATATATAATAATTTATACAAAATATCACAGTTTTGCTAATAAATAAATACAAAAAAATCAGTTTTAAGACATTTTTGCTAATACATAAATAAAAAAATAATCAGTTTTTAGATAATCAAAACCATGACGAAGTCTCAATATAAGAAAACTAAAGAGAGAGTTCCCGGTTTCAGAAAAAAGGGTCCAGACTTGAAGACGTATATAAAGAGTAGTACACATACCGGAACAGTCCAGTTATCATGAGGTTGACATTCCTGATAATCAGCTGACTCTCTGTACTTTTTAACTCCTGAAACAAATATAGTTACAATAATGTTCAAGAGAAAATTCCAATATTCTTGAGTTCAATTCTATTTCCAGTGCTGATTTCAGATATTTGGGTGAAAATTATTATAATTGTAATAAATGTAAGTTTGGTTTTCAGAAAAGAAAAAAAAATGCTTGATCGGGTTATTTCTGGAATTTTTTCAGATTCATTTCATGATTTGATATTTGAGGCAAGTACTTTAGACTTAAAGGATAATAAGATTCCGAATAGATGATTTTTTTCGCATCAGGGTGTAAATCCTGGCTTTCTTGAAATCCAATCAAATATATAATTGGAATCCATAATGTATACTGGCAACATTTGGCTTCATTTTTAAATATTTTATTTTCCGATATGGTCTTTCATATTTCTTTTTTTGTTATCTATCTACTGTCTACTGTCTACTGTCTACTGTCTACTGTCTATTGAATACTGTCTACTGTCTACTGTCTACTGTCTACTGTCTACTGTCTACTGTTTACTGTCTACTGTCTACTGTCTACTGTCTACTGTCTACTGTCTACTGTCTACTGTCTACTGACTACTGTCTACTGTCTACTGTTTACTGTTTACTGTCTACTGTCTATTGTCTACTGTCTACTGTCTACTGTCTGCTGTCTACTGTCTACTGTCTACTGTCCACTGTCTACTGTCTACTGTCTACTGTCTACTGTCTACTGTCTACTGTCTACTGTCTACTTACATGTATATTAAGTCCTTCCTGTTTGAAGACTACCGTAGAAGGACTATCTGTTGGTATATATCTGTAAAACTCTTGACCGTTTCTACAAAAGCAAAATATTAAAAAACATTTTATGGAATTTTTAAAAATAACTTGTATCGGTTCTTAAGTGATTTTATTTATTCTTTTACGTGCAAGGATTCTTTACAAAAGTGACTTGCACTGCACGTTTATGGTGAATAACCAAAAGCAAAAATGATCAAATTTAAATCAGGCATTTTACTAATTTTACTAACCTGTACCACTTAACAGAGTAGAGTTTATCCCCTTCTAGATCATATTTACAAATTAACTCTATATCTTCGCCCTAAAATATTATAAATAGTAAAAACAGCTGATGCAATGTCGTCTTCCGTATCAAAGAATAAATCTGCGAACAAGATACGGAAAATCCTCAAACCAGTGAATTCGAAGAGAGAACACGGAAAGAAGTTTGACATCATTTCACGTCAAAACACAGTTGAATACATTTTTTAACGTTTTTAATGAAGCACATTTTGTTGAGATTAATAGGTTCTACGTTTAGATTTAAATGAGCTAGTAACTTTTGAAATGACGAAACTAATATTAAAGTTGTCAACTCTAAACAAGCAAAGGTAATAAACCTAGTTTTAAATTTTAATTCTGCAGATGGACAACATGTTCATTAGAAAAGTTTAATCTTAAAGGGACTGTTCATGTCTTTAAAATAAATATTTATGTTACAGATTTGACTGAATTAAAGTCTTTGTTTTCTTTCTAAAAATGTATCATTTATTTTTGTGGTTTCTCTAAAAAAAATTGTAAATCCGGCATGCCACCCTAGCTAAAAATTGAGACTTCGCCACACACTTAAATATTCTAATCCCTAAATATTTGCAACATGATGGTGTAAACCTTTGATATTTCAAAATTGAATTATTTATTATAACAGAACTCAAAGTTCAGGGGACAATAGTTCCAAAACTAACACAAATTGAAAGACTGGGGTTTTGGGAACCCGACCCAGATCCAGAGTAAAAGTCGACAGTAAAAACTATAACCAAAAGGCTAACAGCAAAAACGTAATACCTGAATAGCATGATCGGGAACTGAGAATGAGACCAATCTTAAACTCAATACTCCTGAAATAAAAATAATAAAATAATAATAATAATATATAATAATATCAGAACTAGCTACTATAAATTGAAAACAATAATAACTTTGCCATATTAGAATTAGAAATAATAATTATTTGAAAATGTTAACAATCACATTAGTTCCTAATGTCAACAGCATCTGCATATATAATATTTATATAAATAAGTTTGATATAAAATCCATCAATTAAAGATATGATCAAGGGCTTGTCATTAATCTATTCATCTCTAATCCATCCATTAATCTCTAATTGATTGAATAATTGATTAATCATTTTTATAAGTCGACGAACAATCAGGGGACAGTGTCCGAATATAATTATGTACAAGGGTACAGTGTGTCCAAAAATAAACATTTACCAAAAAATCAGAAAAAAAGAGAATATCGTTGTTGATTTGGAAAACAAACGTAGAAATTATGTCAATTTTTTCCTTGTCTATGCTGCATGAAATCGCGAGTCATTTGAAATCCTAATTAATTTTTTTATAACAAGGATATCTCTTTCATTGTTAATTCAACGATTTTTTTATTTTCACTGGTTGCATAATTATTATATTGAGGGTATGTATTATGTAATAAATCAATAATTCATTTAATCACTAATAAACTAATTTATCATCTACTGGTTTCTGTACATAAACTGGAAGTCAGCATTCATAATTGCATTTATCTATCTATCTATCTATCTATCTATCTATCTATCTATCTATCTATCTATCTATCTATCTATCTATCTATCTATCTATCTATCTATTTATCTATCTATCTATCTATCTATCTACCTATCTATCTATCTATATATCTATCTATCTATCTATCTATCTATTATGAACAGTGAATATCTTTGAATATAAATTTCCAAAGTTTACAAAAATATTTCAACAATATTCAAATTCGGCTGAATTTTAAGAAACATCTAACAAGATAAAATGAAAAAGGTCGTAAGCCAGTCACAGTGATTTAGATTGCAAAAAAACAGGAATATGAGAGTACAGGATCACTCACACTCACACTAGTCTAGAAAGCGTAATGTGTTTCAATATTTAATAAATCACGAAACCTCTCTAGTCTTTATGCAATATCTGGGCCAAACTGTGATAATAATGTAATATTTTTAACCAATATAATTGTTTGAATAATTTAATATTAAGGGATTGTAGGAATAATTTCAAGTGACCATCTAGCCGATTTACAAGGGTACCCTTAAAAGTGCTGTCTAATCAATTATGAATAAAATATCCATGTTTTGTTTCTTTCAGCTGTTTATCTTTATTTGCGGATTCTCTGAGAAAGCGTGACGTGCGCAATTTTTGCTTATGAGAAGTAATGTAGAAATTATCAAATTAAAAACTTTTCAAGTCAGGAAACGATAGACAGATTGAGCAGATTGAGGTTTTAAGGATACCTTAATGTATTTAGTAACAAATTGTATCCATTTTTTTAGTGACAAACTGTATCCATTTTTAGTGACAAACTTTATTCATATTTTTAGTGACAAACTGTATCCATTTTTTTAGTGACAAACTGTATTCATATTTTAGTGACAAACTTTATTCATATTTTTAGTCACAAACTGTATCCAATTTTTTAGTGACAAGCTGTATACATTTTTTAGTGACAAACTGTATTCTTATTTTACTGGCAATCTGTATTCATATTTTAGTGACAAAGTGTATTCATATTTTAGTGACAAACTGTATTAATAATTTATTGAAAAACTGAATTTATGATTTAAGTGACAACCCGTATCCATTTTTTTAGAGATACATTTTATTTTAGTGAAAAGCTGTATTATTTTTTTGTAACGTATTGTATGTTAGTGACAAACTGTATTCATATTTTAGTGACAAACTATTTTCATGTTTTAGTAACAAACTGCATTCATGTTTTTAGTGATAAACTTGTAGTCATGTTTAAGTTACAAACTGTATAAATGTTTTTAGCGACAAACTGTATTCCTGTTTTATTGAAAAACTGAATTTATGAATTTAGTGACAACCTGTATCCATTTTTTTTATTTTTTTGTGACGCATTGTATTTTAGCGACAAACTGTATCCATTTTTTATTGACACACTGTTTTTAATGACGCATGCACTCCATATTCCTGTATTTGTTACGATAACCTATATTTAATTCATAAAATGGTATTATTGTAAAATATGTAAATAATAAACATATTTTTACAGTTTAGAAGTAAGAATATTTTTCCATACATTTCTATAATCTTCTTTGTTAAATTCGATACCGATATAAACATAAACAAGTTATTCAACTCAACAGAGAAATGAATTATTCATATTTCATAGAATATTTAAAAACTTTAACAAGGAACAATTAAAAGATTATGAAGGTACTAGCTTGAGAACCATAATTGAACTCCTGCCGGTTACCAGCGCTTAATCCTAAATTACAATTTTAGTATTTTTCCCTAAATAAGTCCACTCACTCATTTTAGAATCTCGAAACCAAGCCAGAACATTCCCGTGGTTCTTACGAGTTCCTCAATCAAAATAGGCAAATCGATCATGGGGTTCCTGGGTTATGATCGGACATACAAACAAACAAACAGACAAACAGAGATTGCTACTTTATACATCCTGTTATATGAAAATAATATTTTCTAATCATTCTTATTACGACCAAAGACCTTTTTTCCTCAAACGGTTAATTTGAAAATTGATAATTTCACTAAAAGAAATCTTGTTTACAGCTGAAGGGCATTTCTATAATGTAAATTGCAGAATTACTTAGTTTAATCTTCATCGAGTAAAAGTTTTTCAAAGTTAGATAATCTAACTGTTTCATGAAAATGTTTTAATCGAGTTTTAACTAACTTTTTAAACATGTTTTGAAACGAATGATAAACCAGAAAAAAAGCTTTAAACTGACGCGTAAAATGCTGAAGGATTTTTTTACTTTTGAGATATTTTGTAATAATCTGACATAATACAAATGCACGTTGTAAAGGTCTGCTTGTATTCCATTGTGCCAAATTTTGCAACATTATATTTCAAGGGACGGTAAGCGTAATTTCAAATGACCCTTCATGCAAAAATGGTTATGTCAGATTTACAATTGTATATTGAAATCTTAATCTGATCAAAAAGGAAGATATTGTCGTGTTTATGAGTGTTTACGTTGTGAATAATTCTTCATTGCTTTTTAAAAACAATGGAATGCGCAAGTTAATTTACGCAAAGAAACCACAAATGAAAATTTACAGTTTAAAGAAACAAAATCATTGATACCTAATACGTACTTGATCAGACAAAGCTTTCAAGGGTACCGTTGTTAATCGGGCATTAACATCTTTGCATGGAGGGTTACTTGAAATTATGCTCACAATCCTTTAAAGTATATTTTTCGTTCATGCCAAAAATCGTATCTCAGAGAAAAATATTTGCACAATTTAGCAAAAGCACATATATAGAGAATACAATTTGATAAAAACAAAAAAGGTAAAAAAAACATTAACTATTAATAGATAAAACAAAAAGAATACCCATTTTAGATTTAGCCGCGGATAGTTTAAGAAAAATAAAATTGGAATAAAGATGATACCAATTGAACTTTTTTAATACATAATTAGCGTTTACGAGTAGTTGTTAGACGCCTAAATTAAAACTGAAGAAAAAAATCATCCAAACATAGGAAAAGGGAATTAAAATATGTCGATTGTGTAAGGAATTCTGAATTCCTATTTGATAAAATATGATTTTGCATAGATCCCTAGATCCCATGATCCTCTAGTAATCCTTTCAATATTAGGATTGAATCTAGTCTTGAATCTCCGTAGAACCAGGGGGGAATAGAAAAAAATGACAAAAAAATCTTCCGAAATTGTCAGAATTTTTGTACAAGTATTATTTTTGATGGAAAATGGCATTAACGTTTTTTTAGTTGGCAAAAGCGAACAGAAAGCTTCATTACAAGTTTTCATTGCACACCCTGTATCATTCCTTCCATTTCCTTGGTTCAAAATCTACTTCATGAAACTATGAAACTATGCAATTATGAAAATTATGGTTCAAAATCTACTTCTAACAATTAAAGTGAATGAAGTGGTTTAAAGCAAAGACCGTCTTTGGCTAGAAGAGACTCTAATTGGATTAAAACAAAGACTGTCTTTGATTTAAAGAGACTCTAATTGGTTTAAAGCAAAAACTGTTTTTTGTTTAAAGAGATTTACTTATGAAACTATGAAACTATGAAACTATGAAACTATGCAATTATGAAACTATGAAACTATGAAATTATGGAACTATGAAACTATGAAACTATGAAACTATTAAACTATGAAACTATGAAACTATCCTTGTTTCCCCAGTATGTAGATATGAGCTGACAAATAAGTTTAAAGTTACCGCAGTGATTCAATTTGGCCTGATTAGTTTTGATCACCCGACAAATTGAACCAAGATGAACTAATCGTGAATGTTAAATTTCAAATGAAATGATTACAGGGAAGTTTGATGAGATATCGGAGGCACCAGGCAAATACAGGATACTTGAAGATTATAAGGGGTCGTAAATATTTGCAGTTTTCCTAGAAAATTTTCAAAGATTAAAAATTAAATACAAAGTACGAATTAGAACGTCGGACATTCAGAAAAAATGTCGTCATTTTCTAAACGCAAACAGTTCTTTTTTCAAATTGAATAATTCCATTTTTGTTTTGAAACGGAAATTTTCACATGATAGATATCTTAAAATTTTAAAAACATCTGAAAAATTAAAAACTATCTCAAACCTTAAACAAAATTTAAAAACCTATTTATAAACTGAAATGGTATTCCAAAATATCAGAAAGAAAAGATCAGGGAGGGTATATGGTCCAAGGGTGTAATCTATACATTTGCGTTGTTTGAGACAAATATTTAGGATATTACTTGCTCCTGGTGCATGAAACCATGCAGTGAATCTGTTATCAGGTATATAGGACCTAGGACAGCTAGGTGAGCTGTACTTGATGTGAAAGTGTTAAGGCATTTAAATGCATGAATTCTCAGTTTCTGACATTTTCTACACAATGCAATGTGTCAGGCAAAACCATGTAAGATGCATTGAAAACAAACCATGAAGCCTGATTGCATTAAACGACTTTTACTTGACAACATATTATAAAGGTTTTGAATAATTAAAATTATCTTAAGATAACAGTGACTGAATATCTGCGAATTTTACGCAGGTTTAAAGACACGGTAGCCGTATAATTGATCTAGTTACCCCCNAATAATAGAGTGTGCGATTAACAAATATACCCTTCAGAGCACTGTCTGACAAAGATTAAATGAGAAATCTATGATTTTCTGCATGAAATTTGATTATTTTCAACTGTGGTTTCCCTCTACAAAAGTAACTTTCGAAACAGAGGATGAAATTGTTAGAATTAAACACTTTTCATGGCTAATTAAACGCCGATGTTTTTACATCTGTAATATAATAAAACAAGACATTCCTATATATATGTATATATATGTTGCGTATAGCCTGCCAAACGACTGGGAACACTCATGGGTGATAGGCTAAGAAATATTCGAAAATTTTTTTTCAAATTATTTTTTTTTAAAATGTTTTTTTCCACGGGCAACTCCGGGCCTTTCGGGCAGTTATTTTTAAAGATAAAGACTTGAATGATACCGTTGTGAATCAAGCAGGTCCCCTTTCTTATAATTTTTTTATAAATTATAATTTTTAAGGTTTTACAAGTGGGTTTTAATAGATTTAAACACAGAAATTGTTGTACTCGATGAATAGTTACCATTTTAAATCGGACATCAAGAAAAAAAAATTCCGATTTCTCTTTATTTCTTTTAAGAACCATGTGTAATATATTTATATGTTTCCTTGGTCGAAACCGTTTTCTTTCTAATTCTACAATTAATTATATTTCCTTTGTGTTTCAACAGTTTTTCTGTAAACTAATTATTGTTTTGCATTATACACGAGGAATGTTAGAAACGCATAATTGTGAGAATATAATGAGAAGTTAAAACTCTATTTAGTAATATAATTAATAATATAATACTATGAAACTATGAAACTATGAAACTATGAAACTATGAAACTATGAAACTATGAAACTATGAAACTATGAAATTATGAAACTATAAAACTGTATGTATTCTTTGAACCGAGAAATCTTTGAGAAATGTTCTAATGGTATTTGGATCGCTTGGTATTCTTTTATGAAAACTTCAAAACAGCAGAAATAAGGTACTTTGAATAGATTAAAAGTGTTCTCTATCTGTATAAGAATCAAGTTTAAAGTAGGGAAACATATTTCGATGTTTCTTATATCATTATCAGTCTTACACTCCTGTATGCCGAGTCCATTAGCGGTTGATCCAATCAGGGTTCAGTCATGTGTTTTAACTCTCGGGCTCAGAACGCTGATACGCAATAATTGAATTTAGTTTATATTTTCAATGAACTCCGCTAATATTGTATATAGCAGGCTAGTAATGTGATTTATTACTAGGTGTCAAATTCAAGATTTGTGAAAAAAAAACATGTTTTGGGAAAACTTTGTGGATTTTGAGATGAACTGTATGTTTTGCAAATATATTTAGAATTTACGGTTTTATGACAAAAAGATAGATAGATAGATAGTTTGCAAGGGGTTAAAACCATTACTACTTCCGTATCAAACTTATTTTTAATTCTTGCAGTTTTGCTTTTTACAATTATAATTTTTTCAGAACATTTTTTTAATTTATAGATATTGAAAAAATTTCCATTTTGAAAATGTCAAATATTGCCAGTCAAAAATTTAATATCATTCAGAAATGAAAAAAAAATAAATGGAAATGTTATTTGTCGATATCTGATATATTTTGCTCTGAAAAGGCCTCTTCAATCTTAAATTGAAATTCTTTTAAGAATTATTTTTCAAAACAAAGATAGATAAATACAAACCTTTGGCAGAGAACAGGAAAAATAGAGAGATAACACACTTCAGATTCATCATCTTTTCAGAGTTTTATTCTACACCTTAAACTTGTACAGGTCCGTAGTCTGTACACGAACAGTACATAGATGTACACATACTGTCGACACTGCTGGTTCACTTCCGGTCCGCTTCCGGTTAAGAAGTTTTATTGCTTCCTGTTCCTAGAGAGAGTCGGACACTACTAAATTTCTATCGGATTCGGATCTAACTGTTTTCGCTATTATTATCTCTCTGAATGCCGGTTGTCCAGGCCGGTACTTGAACATTTGGCGGGAGATGGTCGAATACGACGGTCCGGTACAAAACATTTCATCCACTCTTGGGCAGTGTGGTCGGTCCGGTACTACAATATTTATAAACTGGACAGGTATAATAACATTAAGCAATCTTGACAAGAAAAATAATATAAATGAAAATATTAGAAAAACACAACTTTTTTCCAGATTATTCTAGACAAACATGTCCGATCCAACCACAAGTATGGCGATTGTGCATAATTGCATTTACTTGAAGTTTTTATAACGTATTAATTAACTTTGAATTATTTGATAATCAACCCAACACTACTTTTTTGTAGCTCTGGGCATAAATAAGTGAAAGGAGTATTTTTCAACATTTTGATATTTCAAGTAACCTTCCATGCAAATATCACAATGGTCGATTAAAAACGGTATCATTAAAAGCTTTATCTGATCAACTATAAATCATCAATGTTTTTGTTTCTATAAACTGATTATTATTATTGAAGGTTTCTCTTCAAGTGTGGATTGCGCATTTCTTGTTTATAAGAAACAACTCAGCGAAATAAACACTTTTTGAGTCAGAAAAACGACGGTATCTTCCACATTACTGTAGTTTCAATAGAAGTAAATGTTTCCATTTACTGAATGTCAAGCCCAGATATAAGGCATCCATCTCTAATTGGATGATTAGTATAGATAGAAAGATAGATGATACTGCCATGCAATTTCTATTGGTTCAGAATAGACAACAAACACATGACTGAACCCTGATTGGATCAGGCGCTAATGAAATCGCATACGTACAAGTGATGTTTATGATCAGATTGAAGTTTAAAGGATACCGTTGTAAATTGGTTATATAAGAGATTTTCCCCGTCAGGTTGCAAAGATAAAGGGATTAGAAAATTTTATTGCGTGGCATAGGCTCAATTCGTTTATAGATAGATATAAAGATAAGATATATAAATGAAATAGACTTATAGAAATAGATAAGAAATTAACATGTAAACACATAAACAGAGAAATAAAAAGATGACCTAAGATTTTAAAAGCATTTTGTAAATGTTAATAAATAGCATGTTAGAAAAATATATGGTTTGATAGATAAATATATAGATAAATAGATAGTTAGATAAATAGATATATAAATAGATAGATATATAGTTAGATAAATATATATACAATAGATAAATAGATGATTTAAAGAGGAATCTGGAATCTCCGTATGGGTGCACCTAGAGTATGTGGTTTACTACTCCAGGGTGCACCTAGAGTATGTGGTTTACTACTCTGGGGTGAACCTTGAGTACGGGGTTTACTACTCTAGGGTGCACCTAGAGTACGGGGTTTACTACTCTAGGGTGCACCTAGAGTGCGGGGTTTAATATTATAGGGTGCACCTAGAGTACTTGGTTTACTACTCTAGGGTGCACCTAGAGTGCGGGGTTTTCTACTATAGGGTGCACCCAGAGTACTTGGTTTACTACTCTAGGGTGCACCTAGAGTATATGGTTTACTACTCTAGGGTGCACCTAAAGTACATGGTCTACTACTCTAGGATGCACTATGAGTATATAGTTTACTACACTAGGGTGCACCTAGAGTGCGTGGTTTACTACTCTAAGGTGCACCTAAAATATGTGGTTTACTACTCTAGAGTGCACCTAGAGTACGTGGTTTACTATTCTAGAGTGCACCTAGAGTATGTGGTTTACTACTCTAGGGTGCACCTTGAGTACGTGAAATCCATCCTGCTCATCCTCCATCTAAGTTTCTGAATCTGGGCATTATATGCAATGTGAGTTTTTGAAAAGTTTTTGAAAATGAACCTGAAAACTGTAAATCTTCTAGAATTGAAATCTCAATACAAGTTTTGTTTTACTACTCTGGGGTCCACCTAGAGTATACGGTTTACTACTCTAGGGTGCACCTAGAGTATACGGTTTACTACTCTAGGGTGCACCTAGAGTATGTGGTTTACTACTCCAGGGTGCACCTAGAGCATTTGGTTTACAACTCTGGGGTGCACCTTGAGTACGGGGTTTACTACTCTAGGGTGCACCTAGAGTATATGGTCTACTACTCTAGGATGCACTATGAGTATATAGTTTACTACATAGAGTGCACATAGAGTGCGTGGTTTACTACTCTAAGGTGCACCTAAAATATGTGGTTTACTACTCTAGAGTGCACCTAGAGTACGTGGTTTACTATTCTAGAGTGCACCTAGAGTATGTGGTTTACTACTTTCATGTATCATCTTCATGCTTAAATCTGTAAACGAAATCTCAGGGTGTGACCCTCATGCACAATGACGCAATACCCGATTCACAACTGTACCCTTGAAAGCTGTATTTGATCAATTATCTGGAAGATATTGTTGTTTTTTTCAGAATATAAAAATCTTTAATTCTGATAATTCCAATAATTTTTCCTCTAGAGAAATAATCAGTTTTTAAAATTAATTTCTAATTCATACTTGATCATGAAGGGTCACTTGAAATTAAGTTTACAGTTCCTTTAACGGGCCTGTATGTTACATTATATTAGCAAACGGATTAAAAAGCACTGAAATTAAAATTTCAAAATATATTTTTAATGTTGGGTTTAAACAAGATCTACAAGAATTCCAAAAAATATTTACTTCAAATGTTTTTATTATTTCAATGTTTGTTTTGTAAAATCTCAAAGTTTTTTCTTCTTCTCTATCTTTGAAATTACTATTTTATTGTCCAGGGATTTGGATGAGGAGGATAGATTGAAATTGAGAAATTACTTTTCAATTCTGTTTCCATCTCACTCTGCAATGAAATAAAGATTTTTCACACTTTATAGAATTTAAATCTTTATCACTTGTCTGAAACAAAAGATATTTTTTAAAATAAAGGTAAATGTTCTTGTTAAATTGAGTAAACTCCATTTTAATATTTTCCCGGATTTTCCCCACTCAAAACATTTCTCAGAGGCGGGGAATATTTCTCAATAAAATTACCTCCAATATTTGAATATATTTATCTTATGTTTAAAAACTTAAAATAAGTCTTTGAACTTTACAGAAGCACAAACCAGTGCTGTGTGTAGGGATTTGGAAAAAAGTGAACTGAGGGGGGAGCATATGATGATTGTCCCCCCCCCTCAAGTCCTTTAGGGTTAACCAGTAACGAAATGTTTTCTACCATTGGTTGAGCAGATAATAATAGCAAAATATACCAACATACAGACACTATACTAATCTAATTATTCTTTATAAAAATTGAGTATTAATACTAGGGTTTGCAGCGAACAAAATGCGAAAATTTTCGTTCGCGAAAATGAATGAAGCGAAAAATGCTTAAACGAAGCTAAATTTTGAAGAAAAAAAATTTGCGCAAAATTTTTTTTCGTGGAAATGCGAAAATTTCGTGAAAATATTTTCGGGTAAAAAAATCCGCGAAAACCATGACTGTTATATCTGCAACAATCGCATTTTTTTCGCGAAACGAAACGAAATGGGAAAAATGCGAAAATGTTCGCGAAATAATTTTTTCTTTTCGCTGCAAACCCTAATTAATACCTTTACGCATGATTCTATGCAATTTCACGCAATTAATTTATAATTTCTATTGCATTGCAATATCATCTTTATAAAAACCTTTTGGGACTGAATTTTTATTTAAATCTATTCTTTGTTTAGTTTTTAACATACATTTCTTTAACATTATTGATAAAGATTATATTTTTGGTTTTAATTCTTCTGATGCTATGCATCTATATTATTTTACTATAACGGCATTTTGTCCTGCTAAAAGCAATTCATGCTACTATACAGTTTTATGAATAAATTTCAGGTTAAAAAAAGGTTTAAAACCCTTCCAAAATCCTACAGAGCTTTATAGCGTTTTAACAAATTCGTTTTAACCCCGATATGCAAAATAAAGTACATTTTCACTATTTACATTGTCATATTTATTGGAACACATTGTATTTAAATGCAGATTCAAATTTCAAAATGAAACCCAAATTTGCGTCATGATTCTGATAAAGCAGATTAAAATAAACTATAAATTCATTAAGCTAAAATCTAACATCTGTTCTTTCATGTCTTATCATCCCTCCCTCGAAAAAACCTTATTATTCCCCTAATTTCATTCTTCACTTCCCTTCTTTACCCCCACCCCCTTACCCCTCCTCCCTTCTACCTCCACCCAACCCTTATTCTTATCTCCCTCCATGTCTCTTATTTTCTCACCAAATTTGTCACAAAAAAACTTTCCCCTTACTTTTTGCGCTGCATGTCTTTTTGGGACATCACCACATTTTAATTCTTACCGGTGGGAGGCCGGAGGGGCCGGGGGGGGATACATCTTACCTTCCCCCCCATACGCCTTTTCCCAATGTGTCTTCTTCCATTCATATTTGTAATTCTTTAAGTCTCCCCATAGCCCAATATCTTGTTATCTTGTTGTGATTTCCACCCTGGGGAATACAGGCTGTCTAGGGGGAATTACATGCAGGGGGTGGGGGAATATCATGTTTAAGGGGTGGGGAATCATACACAATTTTAAAGAGAGTGGGGGAACTCACGGATGAAAGTCAAGAAATGGGGGAAATACGGGGATTTGACTATATATTCTACAGGATAGACTATATATTCTACAGTATAGACTATATATTCTACAGGATAGACTATAAGTTCTACAGGATAGACTATATATTATACAGTATAGATTATATGTTCTACAGTACAGACTATATATTCTACAGTATAGACTATATATTCTACAGTATAGACTATATATTCTACAGTATAGACTATATATTATACAGTATAGATTATATGTTCTACAGTATAGATTATATATTCTACAGTATAGACTGTATATTCTACAGTATAGACTATATATTCTACAGTATAGACTATATATTCTACAGTATAGACTGTATATTCTACAGTATAGAC